AAAAAAAAAAAGGTCTAGACCATCAGGGAGCTCTGGTGGCCTAAGTGGCAAGAAGCTGCAACTGCAATCCCAGAGGTAAGCGGTTCGAATACACCAGATGCTCTGCTGGAGAAGGATGGACAATTTCCTCCTGTACTAATCAGATCCAATTCGATAGTATACACATAAAAATAAGAAAATAATTTTAAAAAAGTAGATCATCAAAGAGAAGAAGTCTCTCAATGAGATGAACTGCAGATCTCTGCAATAATGAGTCTGAGTGGGTGATTATAAAGACAGTACGGGATAGGGTAAGATTTCAGGGATAGGGTAAGATTTCAGGGATAGGGCAAGATTTCAGTCTGTTGCACAGAGGGTTGAGGGTTGCTAGGAGTCTGAGTAGACTGGATAGCTCGTAACAACCAGCACAACAAGCTGAAAAACAATGCTCCATCACTGAGAAATGAGTTTCTTATTTCTATGCCTTGTCTTGGGAGCAGGAAGAAGGAAAGGAAACAAAACAAAACAAAACAAACCAACCATCCCAAATCACTGCTATCAGGGTGGTTACAACACAACTCCATTGTGTTTCTGAGGATATAAACCTTCACTAGAAGAGACTTGCCCATATTTCTACCCTGGAGCAACTAGTAGTGGGTGATTAACAACACATATAGTCAAGAAATCCAAAAAGGAGGTGCACTGGGAAAATATGCTGTCAGGGAGTATTTCCCAAGTTCTAAAGACAATGAGACTAAGGTGTGCCTGAGTCAGGCCATGTTCTTTGCAGTCAGAGAGCTAGACAATGACTAAGGATGACAGAAGGACTGATGCCTTTGAGTTGTCATGCTGGAGAAGAATATCAAACATTTTATGAACTGCCAAGAGAACAAACAGGTCTATCCTGGAGAGGATGGAATCCATCATCTGATCCTTGGAGGCAAGGATTTTGAAGCTCCATCTCACATTCACTGGCCACGAGTCCTTCGAGAAGGAAGGGTGGAGAGACAGCACAGGAGAGGAAGACCACAAATGAGATGGACAGAGACAGCAAGTGGGGTAAAAAGTAGGTATGTCTGAGAAGTGAGAATGGCTCAGGATAAGACAGGGTTCAGAGCTACTGTTCACAGGGTCACTGACTGTAAGTCTCAGGAGACTTGACGGGACATAACCAAACGAATGCACTATGCCACCAGAGCATATATATACAGAGACAGGAAATAAAGGTATATTTTATCTTTTAAATAAATTTTGTTTTCTACTAATCAACTAAATGATGATCTTCAACGTGGTAGAAGCTAATGGCTAAAGCAAGAGGGTTTAATTTGCCACAGTTCTTACTCCCTTTACTTCCTGTCTCATGTGCTCAATTAATAAAAAGCCAGTTAAAGCCTCAACAAGGATGTGACTTTATGGTTATCATTCTCCACAAGACAAAAATGTGGCTCCCTGTCTGATATCACAGTGGAAACCAGAACAAAAGCCCTCAACTTAGTCTCTCCAGCCCACTGGGTGAACAGCTGTTTTGCAGAAGCTCAATCTATGAAGTAAGGACACTAACATTGATAATTCTGGGCAACATGGCACTCACAAGTTATTTTATTGGGAATTATCCCTTCAACATTTTATATACTATCAAAAGGACAATTTTTTCTAAAAAAATCAATCTCACTCCAATTCCACAAATTGATTGTTTTGATGATTCTTTAAGTCTTTCAGGATAGTTCTTCCCACATTCCTACTACTTATAATAAAAAGTGAGAAAGGAAGGGGAAGAGAAATGAAATGAACACTGTCACATCAAACCGGAACAATCACCGAGCCCGTGTGGTTGTTAGGTGCTGTGGAGCTGTGCAAGACTCACAGTGACCCAACAACAGATCTGAACCCTGTCCTATCCTGCGTCACTCTCATCATGACACACTTGAGCCCACTGCTGCTGTCAATCCATCTCGTTGTGGGTCCTCTCTTGCACTAACCCTCTACCTTCCCAAGCATGATGTCCCTTTCCAAGGACTAGTTCTTCCTAACATTCCCAGAGTATGTGCAACAAAGCTTCACCATCCTTGCCTCTAAGAGACATTCTGGCTGCACTTTCTCCAAGACATATCTGTTTGTTCTCTTGGCAGTGCACGGGGTGTTCAGTGCCCTTCTCCAGCACCACAGCTCAAAGGCATCAATTCTGATTCTGTCCTCCTTAGTCACTGTCCAGCTCTCAGATGCAAAGCAGCTGACTGAAAAGACCACAGGACTAAGAATCCATTTTTTGAAGTAAAAAAAATGAGAAAATGACAATTTTGCTGCAACTGATTTGCAAAGTGAGCTCAAAACTCAAGAGTTGGCTTTCCCAATAATGAAATAACATCTTAGAGCTAATCCCAGCAGAGAGAGGAGAGATATTTAAAAACTCTTTGTTGCTGGGGACTATCAAATTGTAACTTATTCACAGCTGACCCTCCAGCAGGTTTTTGGAGGGAGTAAATCACATGGGAGGAGAATGACCATCTTTCTTCTGCAAAGAAGCTGGTGGATTTGAACTGCATGCCTTTGGGTTGGCAGCACACTTCACCACCATTAAGCTGCCAGAGCTTGTCTTGGCCTCGTTAAAATGCGCCTATTTTTGATGGCTCCAGTGAGCACATGTGTTAGTCATAACCATAGTAATCCCAAAAGGGCACTGAAAAGCGCACTCTGGAGAGTTCATAATCCTCAAGTTTCTACACCAAATTT